CTTGTAGAATCCTTACAGGAACCCTTTAAGGAACCCGACGACATCAGCCCGGGATCCCGGAAGTGAAGATTCCGCACCGCCGCAGCGATCGGCACCTGCTTACTTCACAGGCTGGACCGCCCAGACCTTACAAAACCCTAAACCCTAAACCCTAAACCCTCAACCCTAAACCCTAAACCCTAAACCCTAAACCCTAAACCCCTAAACCCTAGGCCTTGAGTTATAAGTGGATCCTGAATATGCTTTGAGGTATATTCCTGAGTTAATACCCTAACCCCTAAACCCTAAACCCCTAAGCCCTAAACCCTAAACCCTAAACTCCTAAGCCCTAAACCCTAAACCCAGTTAAAGGAGTTTGGAAGGTCTGGCCGGTTACTCTATCATCTTTGGGGTTTTCGCCTTGTGATGATAACCCTTCTAGGGTTTAGGGGTTAGGGTTTAGGGTTTTCGCCTTATAACCCTTGTAGAAATGGTGATGCTCGCAACCCCGTTGAAACTATTAAGGCCCCGACATTAGTTACGTGCTGTCTGAAATAAACACCAAAACCAGCGCTTCTATACAGGAACCATGAACCATAAATCACCCTAAGCCCAAAACCTTGAAGCCCGAAACACAAACCGTAAATTCAAACCCAACACCCTAGAGCCCAAACCACCCTAAACATTCAAGCCCTAAGCCCCAAACCCAAAGAGCCTTAACCCCAAATCCCTAAACCATTTAAAGGAACCCATATAGGAATCTTTGAAGGATCCCACGTAGAATCCTTTCAAGGAACCCTGAACCTTAAGCCCGAAGAGCCTTAAGGTTTAGCGTGTAGGGTTTATTAACCCTAAACCCTAAGCCCTAGGGTTTGGGGTTTAGGGCTTCTCCAAACCGTAGGCCCTGCATGTGACCCCAAACCCTACAAAACAGAAGGTTACCCCTAATTAGAAGGTAGAACCCCTAAAACTGTCAGTTGGATTCCTAGGTAAGCCCCTATGAAAAGGGGCTGCCCTAAATCCTATGGATCCTCACAGATCCCTTTCAAAACCTAGGCCCTAAGCCCAAAAACCCGAACCCAACACCCAAAACCCTGAACCCTCGCCCCTAAACCCATAAACCCCTAAACCCGTAAACCCTGAACCCCTAAAAACCCTGAACCCTAAAGCCCCTAAACCCATAAACCCCAAACTGAACCCCTAAATCCTAAACCCTAAACCCCACGGAGCCTGCAACCGAGCCAACTCCCCGAGCTCCTCCCCGCTCAGCTTCGGGGTCTCTTCCAGCCTTACAGTGGGGTTTAGGGATTTGTTTCCCAGAGGGTCCATATACATCACCATTCTGGAATTAGGTCCCCAAAGACCGTCCTTATTATGGTTTTGAAGACCTAATTCCATCATAGTAATTTTTTTATGGACCCTCTTGGTTTGTGGTTGAATTCAGGGGTTTAGGGTTTAGGGATTAAGGGTTTCGATGGAGGCATTTAGAGGCTGGGGATGATTAGGGGTTAGGGTTCAGGGGTTTAGNNNGGTTTAGGGTTTAGGGTTGAAGGACTGGGATTTAGGGCTTAGAGGAAGGATTAGGGGCTTGCTTTTCATTTTCGTTTGTGGAATTAGGGCTTTGGGCTTTAATGACGTTTTTACGGTTTACGGGATTGGGGATTAGGCTTTAGGCATCAGGAGCTGGGGTCAAGGGATAACAAATGTTTTTGGATTCAGGGTTAGGTTTCGTTTTTTGTGGGAATGGGGTTTAGGGTTTAAGGATTAATTTAGAGTTTAGTGATTAGGGATTATGAAGGTTTAAGGATTAATTGGGGATCAAGGAGTTTATGGGTTTAAGCTTAAGGATGAGGGAATAGGGGTTACGGATGAGGATTTAGGGTTTGTTGATCAGGTTCTGGGGTTAAGAGATTAGGACCTCAACCCTAAATCCTAAATCGGTTTGGGGTTTGGGGTCTCGGTTTAGGGTTTAGGG